CTAGATTCCTCTTCTTCTTTGATCTTCCAAGCATTTTCATATACTTAGGTGGTTGCACATTAGGATACTATGTTCTAACCTAGAGATTTGATTCATTTACAAGATAAATCATATGTTTGTATACTGCCATGTATCTTGATTTCCTGTAGTACTTAGTGATATAGTCATCAACCTTATGGTTTCTACTCTTCATAGCTAAAAGGACATGAACACAAGGAAGACCTGTGAGTTTCCATCTTCTTCAGGAACATAGATGTTCCTTCAAATTGACTACAAACTTATCTGCTAGATTTTCAAGGTTCCTCACTTCAAAGATGTGCTCAGCTGACATCCTACATAAGAAAATTTTAGGTCAACACATGATACTCACATAAAAGTTGTATGTGTTTTTTTTTTCAATTTTCCTTTTAATATTGGGCAACACATCAGCATCTGCCAAGTTTTGAAACCTCGTCCTATTGGTAGCCAATCTCTCCATCACGTAGGTCCTGATTTCTTCCACTATGGTTATTAATGGCATGGCCCTTGACTCAAGAATGACACTATTAAAAGCTTTAGATATCTTATTGAGAACAACATCACACTTGTTGTGTATCTTAAAGCATGGTCTACTCTAGAATCTTGGTGGGGTGTTCAGCATGTGTTTGAAGGCATCTCCATTTACAGCTCTCATTCCTTTCATTTCTCTTTCCCTTTCTTGTGAGTATGTTAATAGTCATAAATTCTAGTATAATCCCCTAGGAAAGAACCATTAGTCATTTCTCTAGCTACAAATCTAACTCTTATGGCCTTAGTCTTGTTGACCCCTATATTTCACTTCTTTTGTGCATTTTCCTTTATATCCTTAATCTTCTTACTATGATTATTTTTCAAGGAATTTTGAATCCTTTTGCTCAATCATTTAGTGTTCATCATCTTCATATTATACTCTCTTCTACATCTATGAATGTTAACTACCTTCCTTAGTTGCCAAGAATCTTCATCAGGCAACTTAGCACAATATGCCTCCCACTCATATCCATCTTTACATCTAACATTCACCTTTATCTTGTCATTTTTAATTAACTTCAAGTTTCTACGATATTGGACTGCATATGAGGTTATTACTTCTTTAAAATCACCTTTGGCACTAAAATACATTCTCACTTTCATTTGTAATTTGACATGTCTTTTTGTAACTTGAACATGGGGTACTTCTTTTTCCTAACTCCATTGCTATCATCACTATCACATCCACTTTTTAGGTCTTCACTCTCATTATCACTCCCTTTAAATTCTTCATTATTTTCTTCCCACTTTTTTTCCCTTTTTTGTTGTGTCCCTCTTGATCATTTTCATATACATAGTTAATTAGATTAGCAATTTTTCTTCCTCAACCATTTCACCATCTTACTCATCAGATTCATCATCAAAGGTTATCTCCAAAGCATTATCATAATTGAAGCTCTCATCTTCAGTGTCGTCAGAGCTAACTGTTGGTGTAAGCCCTAGAGGCCAATACTTTTTGGTACTTGTATCAGATTATTCGTTTAATAATAAAAGGCATTTCTTTATTATGTTTGTCTTTCAGAATAATAAAGTCCCTAGAATAGTTAGTCTGTTTAATGAAATGTTAAGTGTGACTTAATCATGAGATCCCATTAAACATAAAGACATTATTCTTAAAATATCCGTAGTCAAGCTTTATTGCAAAGTGGGATAACATTAAAAGCATTGAGACTATTATGAAGATAGACTGATGATCACATCTCATGGATCATGGATAAAGAGTTATCAAGTCTTGACATAGGTATAAATATTAGGAGTAATATTTATACCGGATTGACCCGCTATGAGAATACTACATAGTATGTTATGCAAAGTGTCATAAGTTATTCTCATGGTGATAATGGTGTATTACCACCCTTCGACCTGAAACCACTATGGACCCTAGATGTAGAGTCGGGTGCTTTATTGCTGATCAAACATTATCCGTAACTGGATGATCATAAAGACAGTTGATGGGCACTCCACGAAGCATGCTGAGGGACATGAGTGTCCTAGATGGAATTTGCCAATCCTGCATAACAGGAGAAATGTCTAAGGGCCCAATATTGAACTGGACAAGGATGACACAGTGTATGCCTTGTGTTCAATATAGACATAGGGGCAAAAGGGTAATTGTACAAACATATATTATCACGAAAAAGGTTTTGTCAGATCACATGACATTTTCGTGACTTGGGTAGCAGTGATGTGTTGCTAGATACCGCTTACTGTTTATTATGTTAAATATATATAATTTAATATAATTACCAACGTTACGAAATCCTACAGGGTCACACACATAAGGACAGTTTGATGAGAGATAGAGAAATCAAAGGAACACCGTAAGGTACGGTGCACTTAAGTGAAAAATAGAAATTCGGATAATATAATAATAATTATTGTTATTTTATAATGGTTATAAAATAATAATAAAATAAATATATTTATTATAATAATAGTTATTATAATAATATATAATATTATTATGGATCATGTGAATTAGGGTTTTAGCCCGCAGCCCACAAGAGAGTCTATAAAAGGAACCCTTGTGATGAAGCTTTCACTTGATGCAATTTCGTTTTTGATTCTCTTTTCTCACTCAAATAATTTCGTTCGTAAGCAGCTAGCACTGTGACCGGAAGCTGTTCGTGTGGACTGAGTAGAGGCGTTGCACTTCATCAACGCTTGTGATCGCTGCATCAAAGATCTGAATCGCCACAAAGAGGTAACGATTCTATCACTGACCATGCTCATTCGTGAGGATCACTAAAGGAAAATTTTTGTTTTCCGCTGCGTTTAGATCGCAATTTTCCTTCACTAACATCACCATGCACCTCACCACCCCCATGCACATTATCATGATTCGCCTCAATTTTATTTGCCTCGCTTTCATTCAACTCTGTTTCATTTGCCTTACTTTCATTCAACTCAGCTTCATTTACCTCACTTTCCTTCATCTGAATTTCATTTGCCTCATTTTCCTTCATCTCAGTTTCCTTCAACTCCCCACCCTTCAACTCCCCATTAATTACTTCTTCATACATTTCGGCAAGCACTTCTTCACTCTTATCTATAATGTCATCATGATCTACTTCTATCTCATCAAAGGGACCATCATAATACTAAGGCTGAGACAAAGTATGTTGAATATAGATATCAACACTTAGATGCACCCTATAAAGATCAGTAATCTCTAAGGCACCTTTGTAATCAACCAACACATTCATCCCAAATGTGGAATCCCTATAATATATTTTCTCTATGCCACTATAACTTAACTCCTTGAAGCAACCTAACAACTCAAGATAACTCCACCTATCAGCCACTAGTTTCAAATCAACAACTTCTCCTTCTTTATACACATTAAAATCCTCAATAATGAATTCACCATTGTGATGGATTTTTATATGTAAACATTCGTCCATTTCAAATTATACCCTAAAATAGAATTGCAGAAATAGATAGATTTCAGAAAGATTGCAGAAACCATAAACACTTAAACTTAAATCCTAATACTACACCATTTTAAAATTGCAGAAACATTTTGTGAAATAAACATGCAATCAACAATGGTGTCTTTAATTTCACTTTCAACTTCGCCTACTCTCCTCTTTTCGCAAATCACAGTTGATTCCTCCTTCGTCAATTGCTTTACATATGTTTTATGAACTAAACCCTTCAGTTTCTTTTTTAAGGCTTGTGATCCACCTCAACGACACATATGTGTCACATGTACACTAAAATTGATTTTGACTAACAGGACTAACGAAAAGGACTAAAGTGGCGTTATTTGAACAATTAAAGAATCAACTTGATCTCTTTTAAAATTGAGGGATCATAATAGACCTCGAAGTAATGTTAAAGGATAAAAAATGATATTTTACCTTTTATTATTTTAAAAAGTCATTCCTAAAAGTTAGTTTAACCTACCAATGTGCATGGAGAGGGACCACAAGCGTTGTTAATTTAACATTTTATCATTCAACTAACCCGTTTTCTTTTACAATCAAGTTTTGTGTGAACCATCATAATATTCTCTCTTTTTTTCTATTTTACTGCATCAACTGGATGTAATAAAATAGATTTAACTTTAAATAATTTAAAGTAAATTTTGAATAAAATAATTACTAATTAAATTTTTTTTTCAATTAAGCTGAATCAATCTAACAACAACTTAATGTTAATATACTCAATTACCTCTCTTTGTGTGTATTATGTTATATTTATATTTTTGATATATAATTCATTGTAAATTCATAATTATAACATAGTTATAAAACTTGTAGATCTTTCTATCAATAGATAAAATAATAATACTAATAATACAAGAAGTTTGTTATAGTACTTGTTATTTGAGACGTGACTGAATGATTTTGTGGTCCCAAAGAATTGTTAGAAATTGTAACTGAACAACACTTTTCCTTCATCCCAAAAACAAAAGAATAAAAAACTTTCCTCTTTTTTTTTTTCTTTTTTTTTTTTTCCTATTTCTAACAATGATTCATACTTTCAGTTTCACAAATATTTTTTCCTTTTTAAGTACCATAATCCTTCACACTTTATCTCATCACAAACTGAGTTTTTTGGATTCACACTCAAACAAGAGAGAAAAGGGTGAGAATAACAAATTCCACATTTTCACATTCTTCATTTCAAACTGTTTTCAGTGTTCTTTTTTTCATTCTAACAATCATAAGTAATTGCTTTCTTCTTTAAAGTTCAAATTTTTTTTAAATTTGGTACTGGAACAAACGACAACGTTCAACAAAACAAGATTCATATGATCAAATCTCAAACATAATTTATTCAGTTAAAAAATGTTTTTTTTTATGTTGATTGATTAATGGGGTTGAACTATTTATTCTATGTTTTATGTTGGTATTTTTCCTTTGTGATTATTATATATGCATTCACATTGTATGTTCTGTTTGATTAATTTTTAAATTTGTGTTAACTATTGCAGACAAACAGGAATGAGTTCATGTTCAGGAGACAAGCAAAACATGCATGAACAAACTGGTTGCTTTGATCCCAACACAATGGATGAAGGTATTGAAAATTCTCTAAAAGATAATCCCTTTTCTCAAACTCACCCAAATCAAATGGTTGAAGGTAATAATCATAATCATTCTGAGGAGGATTTCTCTTATCATAATCCACAGCACCTTGATAACAATTTGGTGCAAGAGGTGTATCAGAACTCAACTTGGGACACCAATGTTCATGAGTTACAAGGTATGGATTATGCTAATCACCAAGAACAACACCAACTACATGAACAACAGTTTCAACAAATTGTTGAAACGCAAAACCATAACCAAACCTACAACCCTTCAAACATACTCGACCCTCATTACCCTTCACCCGATCTTTTAAACCTTCTCCATTTACCTAGATGCTCAGATTCGTCTTTTCTCGCAAATCCACCATCCAACATTTGTATGACAAACCTGAATCAAAAACCGCCGAATTTCCATAACTCGATGAGTTTTCTTGGAGATCTTCCGATTGGTTCGTCGGATAATACAAGTGGATCATCGGTTTTATATGATCCTCTATTTCCTTTGAACCTTCCTCCACAGCCACCAGCCCTCAGAGAGTTGTTTCAATCTCTGCCTCGTGGATATAGCATGCCGACTAGCTCGAGGAACGGTTCTCTTTTCGGTGGAGGGGATGAGATGGAAGGAGATGGAGATATGGGAGTGCTGGAATTCAATAGGGTTGCTGCTAATGTTGGCAAAGGAAGAGGAGGAAAAGCTACAAAACATTTTGCAACAGAGAAACAAAGAAGAGAGCAATTGAATGGAAAGTACAAAATCTTGAGGGGTCTCATCCCAAATCCCACTAAGGTATACAACAATAACCATCTATGAGCTTTTTTGAAGCTCTATTTTGATAACTATGATTGAAATGATTAATTAATAGGCAGTTTGGGTGTAATGCAGGTTGATAGAGCGTCAGTGGTTGGAGATGCTATTGAGTATATAAGAGAGCTGATTAGAACAGTGAATGAGCTGAAACTGTTGGTGGAGAAGAAAAGACATGGGAGGGAAATGTGCAAGACACATAAAGCTGAAGATGCTGCTGCAGAAAGCTGTAACATAAAGCCTTTTGGTGATCCAGATGGAAGCATAAGGACTTCATGGCTGCAGAGGAAATCCAAAGACAGTGAGGTTGATGTCCGGATCGTCGACGATGATGTTACAATCAAACTGTTTCAGAGGAAGAAAGTTAATTGTTTACTCTTTGTCTCCAAGGTTCTGGATGAACTTCAGCTAGAACTCAACCATGTGGCAGGTGGACACGTGGGTGAATATTGCAGCTTCTTGTTCAACAGCAAGGTTGGTAAATTTAAAATCAAGTAAATTCTATATAGAATTATTACATTTGATTTGGTTATATATTAAATTATTTGTTTTGTTTCATTATGCAGGTAAGTGAAGGTTCATCGGTTTATGCAAGTGCTATAGCCAACAAGGTGATTGATGTTCTGGACACCCAATATGCTGCTGGTGTTCCATATACAAGTAGGCTGTAGTCAATATCAGAAACCAAATGTCTTGTTTAATTGGTGCTGACATGAATGAGGCATTTTGGAAGAATAATGATAGTGGTTATAGTAATGATTTCATAGGAAACATCTAGGAGATGCTAAAATTTATAGGTTCAATAGTTTCTTACTTTGTGTTTTTCTTATTGGTACTTTGTGTGTGGTTCATGACATATTTTCTTCAACTCAGATGCAAAATTATTGTCAAGGATTTTTAATTTGGGATATTTAATATTAGTTTGATTTTGAACTATGTTGTGTACAATTGTGTCTTCTATTTACTTGTTATTGTTTCTTCTTACTTCTTGTTTTGCTATTTTAGTTTAGCTTTAGCAGAGGCATTATGTCTGTTATTTTAGTAGGTCATACTTTACCTTTTCATGTTTTGGCAAATAACTACTTTGATTCATTGCTTTAAAGTAAATTACAAAACTTGTTGTTTCCATTCCTGAGAGATTTGATATTGATATGAAATCAAATTAACAGCACTTTTAGTTTCTTTAAAATAGCTATTACATAGTTTTTTAAGCTAAATAGCTTTTTTAATTCTTACAAGTATACACTTCCATTGTTCCGTCATACTTAAAAGTTAAAATTCAGTTTTTTATGAGATACTAAATTTAGTACATATAAATATTTGAAAAGAAAATGAGAATTCAAGGATTGTAAAAAGAAAGAAAAATATTGAAGGGACCAAATTTGTTTAATTTTAATACCCTTTTTGATTCATAACTACTTTCAATACAGTAACACCTATTCCCTTTCATTATGAAAAAATGGTTTAAAGGGAAAAAGGTCACAAAACTAGTCCTCCTATAAACTTCCTCAGGTGCAAGAAAACCATCTATGATTGTTAGTAATTACAGAAAAAAATATCATTTCCATGACTTCCAAGCTTTATTAATTTTGTTAGCAACATACTTGGTAGCTTTTACCCCACCAACAGTCAGTAGGCCAGATATGGCCTGCCTTGCACTTGAAACCTTAACCTTTCTCCTCAGAATTCTCTGCAAGCAATTTGCAGCCCCTTCTCTTGAGCTGATATTAGTATCATGTATGACTCTACCTGAAATCATAGCCCCTTTCTTCTTAAAATATGGCAAGCATCCCTATTTTATAGGTCAAACATTATTGTTATCATTAAGAATCATCTAAAGATTCTAATCAATTTTTTAGTTTACTAATGGTAACTATTGGAGGATTACAAGGAACTGTAAAAATATAACTCAAAATGTTATTTTGCATTCTACAAGCATACCAGTTTGACTCAATTTCATTCCCTCTCTTTGCTGCACGCCCATCTGGCTTCTGATTGATGGAGGAAGAGCAGAAACTAGAGAGCAGGCAACTGATAAGTCACAATCCTGTTTTACAAAGTAAAAGAAGCTACTTTACTTGGTATGTTAACCCTAAAGAAGCAGCATCATATTGTATACAACTTTCCTTCTTCTGCAAGGTATTTGACTCGAATGTCATCAACAATTAAATAATACAACATAGCCATCAAAACTTAGATAGAAATCAAAAGGTGGAAACTAGAATATGAATATCTAAACTAAGATGAAAAAGCACAACATAGCAAGAAAACCTGGCTAATAGTTTCTCCTTATTACAGACACTAATGAAAGAATAAGAAAAATTGCATCCTCATAACGACATCAAGGGGGAGTAATGAACAAAATGAACATCAATCAAAGAAAGCACAAGTTCATGTGTCACCTCTCATAGGTTACACTTCATACTGTTCATTAGGTTTCAATAAGATTGTGAACACCCACTGACAGATAAAAAGCATATATCTATTAACGCTGAAAAATATGCAAGTGTTTATCGCTCTTCAAAATACAAAAACTAATTGCTGATATATCTAAAGATCGGAAAGATGTATTTTCTTATTGGCAGTTGATAAAAGTAGCAATAACTTATTATCATTTAGCTTTTGATGCTATGAAATTATAATCAAATTGTTTTAAACATATAGTTGCACATATAGTAGTTGAGCCTCTAAAAAAGTTCAAACTGGAAGGAAAAAAAAGATCAAGATATAATAAATAAAGGAATTACAGGCTTGTTTGCAATAACTCATAGGTTGGTACTTTATTGAAGAGTCCAGGGCACAACAAAGCTAAATTCCTTCAAATGTGTGATTAAAGAAATGGAGAATTATTATCCAAAATATTTGGTGAATATATTTCTAATATAGGATGAGTTAACCAAAAGAACAGCTGATTATCAAATCAACGTAAGCAAATTTTTAATATTGTTAATCACCCTAAATTGGAAATATTTTGGTAAAGATATCCTATATTCTCTTTCTCCCAAAAACAAAATGATTAATAGCAAATAATACAGACCTGAGAGACGTGTATTTTGTGATTGACAGTTGATGAAAGTTTCAATAACTTCTTAGCTTCATATTCTTCAAGAAATGGCTTATACATCGAATGGAATAGATCAAACTGCCCAGCTACGATTTTCTTCACCTAGACAGATTGTGAACAAGGGAACCTCAGGGAAAACGTAAAGCAAAAATAGGATACATGTATTATTGATCTGGCTCCTTTCCAAAAAAGAATTAAGAGTGAGCCAGAACTAGTGACCAAACTGACAAGTAATATTTGTAGGCATGTATCCCTCACAATAGAAGGTATCAGGTGGCCATGGAGAATTCAAATATATTGGAACTTAAAAGACAAACAATGTCATACCACAACCTTCATAGTAACAATCAAGAACTACCTTATTTTTATCCTCGGCAAATAACATGCGCACATCACCCATATATGAAAGACTACAAACTTTAGCATACAGATCTACCTGCAGGGATACAGCAGCTAAATAATTCAGTTCCTAGTTCCAACAGCCAAATAAATCAATTAAACAAGAGAAGAAAAATATACCTCTGTGAATTCTGATGGAAGCAAGAGAAGAGAAGCTGACAGCGCAGCTCGCAAGTTAATGGAATTGATGTTGCTTATGTCCAACTTATCGACAACAATTTGAACCTGAATATAAAATGAATAAAATATGTAAGCAGAAAGCAAACCTCAGTCTAGGTTCAAATTATCAGGAAAATTAAGGACATGGAAACTATGAGATAATCATGGGATACAAATTTACTAAGCACTAGACAAGTGTTACATGAATTATGGTACAAAAATTGAATATGCTTATTAGCCCATTTCAGAAAACTCTATGTGAACCCATGGCCCATAATTCATTTATTTCATTATTTTTCTTACACGGTTTTGGTAAGTAGGATTTTTTCTATCTTCGCGGATAGTTCAATTTCAGAAGCTGGCACTATTTTAAGAATAAGAGGCGAATGTTTGTCTAAGTTTAGAATGATACTTCAACCATTTTGGGTCACAAATGTTCCCAAATAGTGCACTAGAGCTGCAAAAAATTTGACCGACAACACAATGTATAAAAGTAACGACTGTATTCTTAATCTTCATTGTCAATCATGAGAAAATATAACTCAGTGCAGATGGGGAAAAATCAATATGCTATTTCATTCCGGGGTTATTTATTTGATATGAGAAAATTTAGAATCTCAAAGATACATTGGTCAATCACTTAGCTCAGAAAATAAGCTAGAAATATGTCAGGTACTCAGGCTCTCCTCACAACAAGTTGCGTAAGTTGCATGCCCTGAGGCGACCAGAATCACTATGCTATACAAATCCCTACAAGGCTGCATTATTCATTTGGCGAGATTCGTGTTCATCCTTTTATTGCTTGAACATTTTCAAAGCTATACATGAGTGGTCCTAAATCTGCAAACCAAGAATGAAATGATTTTGCAACATGAAGAGGGGCAAAAATGGCAACATACTGGTTTCTGTAATCGACCACACAAGTAGAATTTCTCCCAGTACTGCACATCTTGAAGTAAGTCATGCGTTCGAGCAACCCCATACTTGAACATCTGCATACATTTACTTATAGATGAGGGACTCTAAGAAAATTAGTCTTTGTTTAACAAACCAACCAAAATATGTTACTGTAGACAGCTAAAAAACATGCCAGCTTTCATAAATTGGAAGGTGACATAGCAGAAATTGCGTAAAGAGTCTAACTTACATACTACACCGAGTCAAAAAGTTGCTAATACCTTTCCATTCCAAGTAACAAAAGGGTTGAAATGTACCCCCACGCCAATTTTATCTGCAACCCCGGTAATCTTACATGTTGAATCAAGATGCGTGAGATGTCACCATTGTTTAACAAAACTCAATTCAGATATATAAAAATTAAATTAGTTAAATAGGTAAAATGAAAACAAGTACCAGCCTCTCTCCACCAAGGTGCACCATCCACGATGCATAGTGATGCTTGTTCAATTTTAGATTCTTGATTGATGACATAGCATGAAAAGGATAACAAAATAAAAATTAAAAAACAACCCTCTGCAAGGCATTCAAATATTATCCAACTCATACAAATGCATAACACATCATGATAAATCAGTACCTCGGAATGCCATTGTTTGGGGTCAGACACACCAAGAATAAAATCAATCATGGTTGTCTAGAAAGCCAAAAACAGAAAAATGAGAGCAAATATCAAAACAATATGAAAATAAAAATGAATGGGTATGAAACAAAAAGGGGACCTTGTCATGGTTGGTTGGATGAAGAGATGATCCGTAAACGCATGCAAAATCAACAGGGGGGAGAACCTGAAGAAAACTTCGAAATGCTTCTGTATTAGTATCCATCTTAATATCAATGATGCTGATGCATAGTTAGTGCAGGTTCAACCTGAAATCAGCATAAAAAGGTTGTTAGTGTTGAGTATTGAAGCTCATTCAGAGTAGTTTTGTCCTCAAGACTTTATTAGTAGCTTGAAAAAGATCAAGAATGAGTGGGGAGTTTCTTCGAACAGTTTGAGTGCAGTGTGATGTAAGTAAAGATAGAAAAGAGAACCTGTTTGGTTTCCCATGGTGGGTTTTCACTTTGATTTCTTTAAGCCAACTCTGGGTCTTGCTCAATTTCAAGTCTTGTTTGATGGGTATCTCAACAATTCAGTCGCAGCAATGGAGGTAGAGACACAGTGAAGAAGGAACAAAGAAGAGGGTATATCGCGCGTCTTCTTTTTACTGGTTAGTTTTTCTATGTTTTCTATTTTAACAAATTGATTTTTTTTTTATATATATATATTATGTTTTATAATTAATGACGAAGTCTTTTAACTTAATTAATTTAATTTAATGTTCGATTTTAGTTTCTTCACTTAAAAATATTACAAATTAGGTTATCAACTTCACTTTTGTTACCCTATTTGTAGGGACGGAGGCAGAAATTTTGAGTAGTGAGGTCAATATAAATATAATATTTCATTTTCAAAAATATAAATATAAGTTATAACTGTTTTCTACGATTTTTCATGTTTTGAAAATGTTGAATGATTTTCTCATTTTCAACATCAATAAAAATATCTCTCTCAATGTAAGTAACTAAACAATCATTTAATCAATCATCACCCATGCGATTTCGCATTTGATTCTTGATAATATTCATAGCAGAGAAAGTTCTTTTAGTTGTTGCAGTTGCCACTGGTAATATCAGAGTAACTTTAAAAGTAAATAAACCAACGGGTACACAACATGTTTTTTTATCTCTACGAGCTTGATAGAAAGATCACTGATCCCCTCTAATTCTAAAAATTCAGTGTCAGAGCATACATCTAAGAGATAGTTATCAAGCTGACAATCTAGTGTCAATAATTCCACTTGAGAAAATTCTGAAGGATAAAATTGAGCTCAACGGATCAACTTTTCCTTATCAAATGCAGAAAATGAATCTCTTGGAATTAAACAAGCTACACAAAGGAGCAACTCTGTATTCACTTCTGTAAAACGATTATTCCGCTCTTGAAGTTGTCGATCAATCACTTCATAAAACAATTCAACTTGAAAATGATGTAAATTAGATACTTTCTCCATTTTTCTCTTTGACTTTTTTGTGTGGGTGTTGAAAAGTGTCATCCATATCTGGAATATCAATATGCTCACAAAATAATGAAACATCATTCAACAAAGAATTTCAACCATTATTTGTTATACCTTGTAGCCTTATTTTGGACACATTTACTAACTTCATAGCATTTACAATATCTTGATCATTTCTTTGTAATGCTTGAGATAAATCATGTTTAATTCCTAAAACTATTTTCATCAAGTGTAAGATGAAAATAAATTCAAAAGATTGCATATAATTCATCAACATTAGTGCTTCACCTTTTTTATCTAAATCTGTTACATCTTCCTCAACCATTTCTAGCACATCAATCATAGAAGAGAATAAAGAAACTATACTAAGTAATGTACCATAATGTGAGCTCCATCTTGTTTCCTCCGCCTTCTTAATTGTCATTTCTTGATTCAAGCCACGCCCACTGGAGATTTCTCCATGTTTCAATGTTTCTTTCACCTTTGTAGCTTGACTTTCACGAAGAATATCCCGGCGCTTACATGATGCTTCAACAACACTATACAAATTAGCAACTAAATTGAAAAATAAAGCAATTTTAGAATGCTCTTTTGCTAATGTCACGGGAGCTAATTGCATATTACTTGTTTCGTCATAGCCTTGTCCACGTATCCTTGACAAACTTAATCCATATTTTGCAAATAATGACTCCAAAGCCGATTTCAATGTTAGAGCACTAGTATTTGAAACATGAACAACACCAAAAAAACACTCAATAACTTTTCCTTCATTATTTACATAACGTATAACCACAACCATTTTCTCATTCACTGAGATATCACGAGATTCATCAATTAAAATATCAAATAAATCATCTTCAAGATCATCCAGTATAACTTGAGTAGTGACTGTTGCAGCAACTTTAACAATATCCTTTTGAATATCAGGAGATGTTAACTTAAGATTTCCACGACAATTTTTCCAAACTTTATAAATATCTTCATTGTGGTTAACAAGAAAACTCATAAGTTCAAGAAAAATCCCCTTATTTCTATACGAAATTGACTCATCATTACCATGAAAAGCTAAACGTTGTGCTAATAAATATCGAATGCAATCAATTATACTTGTCAAATGAATTCGATAGTCCTCTTTAACTTGATTGGATTGTTTACACATGACACCTTCAATGTGGTGCTTTTGTTTCATTAGAGCTTGACAATTTCTCCATGCTTGATTGTGAGAGCTATTTACATCTCCAAGATGAACTCGAAACCTTTCATTTTTTTTTCCAATTTGTAAAGCCTTCTGTTATAAAGGCATCACTACAACCTTTATGTTCTTCAATGTGTGACCTCATAAGATAACAACATAAACAATATGTAGCATCCTCACTTTGATTATATTCCAACCAACTACCATATTTTAAATACCAATTCAAATTAAACTTACGAAAGGTATCTCCAAATTTTCTTTGTGGAAAAATAATTTCTTTTGGTTGACAAGGACCCTTTTGCAAATAGTATCTTCTAATTTCATCTCTATCACTTGGTTGATAATCTGACATTTTTGGTCTTAAACCAGGATCATTAGGAAGTTTTTCCAATTCAAACTAAAAAAACCTTTTTTTCATGGGAGGACTCAGTCTGAGACTTCGACCTTCATTAGGTGTTTGAGGATTAGAAGTTGATGATTGCTCTGTTGATTTTCTTTTAAAATATTTTTCCATTGCTTATTACTAAAAACAAAACAAAAAAAATCACAATTGAAATCCTATTTAAAAAATTCACAATAATACTATAAAATTGTTACAAACATAACAAATTCAAACAAATACTACAAAATTCTAAAAATAAATTATCTACAATTAACATAATCTCTTGTTCAATAATATAATAATATATTTTTACTCTTATAATAATAATAATAATAATAATAATAATAATAATAATAATAATAATAATAATAAATTATAAATTCATTTAGATTAAAATTATAAATAAATAAAAAACCTTTTAAAAGATCAACAATGGAAGGAGAAGAAGACATAGACTCTTTGCGGTAAGAGAAAGAGGAATACCAAAAGTGATTTGTTTGTATTTGCAAAGTGTCAAAGAGAATTATGAATAATAGGAATAGAAATAGGAAAAGTTAGGTTTTTTTTTTACTTTATTTAAAATATTTATTTTATTTATTATATAAAACTAATTGTTTTTTAAAAAAAGTAAAATAATTAATTAGATATTTAAATGGCGTGATAGTCAATATATTTTTTAAGTGGGGACATTAATTAGTTTTCCTTCATAATTTTTAATACATTAAATAAGTTAATATATTCCATATAATATTAAATTATGATTCAAGGATTAATATAGTGGGGGCATGGGTCCACCCTTTCCTCATACTAGCTCTGTCCCTGTTTGATCCTTTAATCAATTTTGGACAAAAAAAACATTACATTTTTATGACGTAGTGTGACAGCAAGGTCATTGATACAAATCTGAGTCAACATATGTAGATAAAAATTGATACACGGTTTAAACCATGGAATTTTGTTTTCGGAGGATCCTTGCAATTAATAAGTTATTTGTTTTTAACTACACATGTCGACTCAGATTTGGACCAATGGTCTTATTGTCACACCACATCGCTAGAATTTAACGTTTTATTGTCAGAAATTGATGGAATTGATCGAATAGGATAACAAAAGTGAAGTTAAGGGACTAACTTATAATATTTTTTTAATTAAGGAACTATAGCATAATATTAAATTAAATTAAGGGACAAAAACATGTATTAAACCTATGTTTTATTAATCCCTTATTAATAAATTTTACTAAATTAGCAAAATATTATCCCTAATTTTGTCCTTCCAATTTCACTTACCACATCAACTCTGCATACTATAAATTACATTCTAACTTGATTAATGTCTTATCTCCATAAATGACATATATAACTCCTCATAATGAATATCTACTACAATAAATGTGTAATACATCACTGATAACATTCTTCCATTAAATAAAGTAAAAATGAAGAATAAATGACAAAGAAAGATACAAAAATTGAAATTCTGATATCAGATATGAGATGTCGAAAGAGATGTCACGACACTAATATCTGAACAATTACCAATATATGAACAACATAAAAAGCAGTTAACAATTGTAAAGAGATACAAGCAATTGTTAACCCAGTTCGGTGCAAACACTCCTACGTTTGGGGGCTACCAAGCCAGGAAGGAAACCCACTAAACAGAATTAGTTTGAAGACTCTCAGCAAACTGGGATTTTGGAGAAATCGATGGGGGATTTGGGTTCAGGTTTCATTTTTTAGGGGGGTTGGTGTTCGAACCGCTGCGAATTGAGTTTCGCTGCCGGAGAAGATGGCGGCTTCCGTCGCAGCTCGTCTTCTCCGACGGGTTTTATTTTTCTGATGAGCTTCGTTGTAGGTTCGAAAGAGAAAGAAGAAAAGAATACTAGTTGAGAAAGAGAGAGTATTACAAGAGGAAGGGAGAGTTTGAGGATGGGATTCGTGGCATCCCTATTTGTTTTAAGTTGTTGTCCAGATGATGACATTTGTCATCATGATATCGCATCATCATTAGCATCACCGGTGTGGACCACGTGCCCTTACCATGAGTCACGCTTATCCCAGCCTTTGGATCTCCCATCCGTACTTGATCTACGGTCCAGATCTGATATGAGGGTTAGGATCACGGAGGGTCCACGATGGACCTTCCCCCCTCCTTCTCCATGTGGGCTTTGTTCTTGTTTGGGCCTGG